TCTTACATATATATATATATATATAATGGATTTTGTAAGGTATCCCCAAAACGGAACTACAATGCAGACTGTAGGTAGGGTTTAGGGTTTGGGGTTTGGGGTTGCAGGGGCTCAGGGCCTCACCTGTTCAGCTCAGAGCTTCAAGGTTCAACCTTCGTGGCTTTAGGGGTTTCGAGGTTGTTATACCCAGTGTCTCCTAAGTCAACTCGCTCCCGAATCCATGAATCCGCAACCCCAAGAGCTTGCGGCCCCAAGTCCCAAAGGACCTACGGAGCATGGTAAGCCTTAGAGGCAGCAAGTTGTGTTCTCGCACGCAGCACCTCCAGCCCCGAAACCTCTCAAACAAGTCACGCGATCCTCAGCCCAAACTCCTACGCCCTGCATCCCTCAAAATCGCAAACTCCTAAACCCCAAAGTCCCTGAGTGATCGCTTATGCTCACGTGGCGGCAGGGCCGGAGAAACGGCGAGAGCGCGATCGCCTCAGCTCTGGGCAGATGGTTGGTTGCCATTGTCTGCGAGGGTTTAGGGGAGTTTGGAGTTTCGGATTTGGGGCTTTGAAGGGTTTTATAAGGGATGCTGAGTGGGTTTCGGGGAGCTGGGAAGTTGGTATTTTGTTCTGCAGGATTCAAGATATATCAAGCTTGAATGACCGGATGGCCAGGGTGTGCCGGTAGTTTTGCACTCGGAATACAATTTCGTAGTATGTCGTCTTCATAGCCTTGCTACTCTGCAGATCCCATACCAAAGCCTGAGTGACATTCTGTAAGATGTTTCGTTGTTGGAAATGGCCCCAACTCAATTGCAAGTGTTTCCGCCACTTTGCAGCCCGGCAATGAACGCTCTCAACCCTCAACCCTACACCCTGAACCCTAAACCCTAAACCCTAAGCCCTGAACCCTAAACCCTGAACCCTAAACCCTCAGACGAAAGCCTCAAGGCCTGGAAGCTCAAACCCCTAGACTCAACAGTTTTGCAGCGAACGCGTCAGGGTTTAGGGTTTAGTTGTGATGGCTCGAGGCTGAAACTCGGCGACGCTGGTCTAAGAGATGAGTTTTAATCTCTGGTAGTACCGGGCCTATGTACTGCGGTGTGAAAGCAGGGCTAGGACCCTGAACCCTGAACCCTAAAGCGTGAAAAAAATCCGACGGAGGGGGTCGGAAGAGCGCTTTCGCAGCCACTATGACCTTGAGGACTCTCCCTCCAAGCTTGATCGACACCACCCTGAACCTATCGACCCTGTGTTGAGGTTTTGTTCACGATGTCGTGAGATGTCTCCCACCCCCCCCCCCCCAGGACCATCCCAAGCAAGACTTCGGGCTTTAGGATGCTTTAGGCTTGAAGCTACCTGGGTTTAGGGTTTAGGGATTAGGGTTTAGGGTTGAAGGTACCATCTAAGGCTTGGTTTTTTGGTTCGAAACTTGCAACCCTTCCCTAGTCAGCAACGCCTACGTCGAGGTTCAGTGGACTTAGTAAGCAGAGGTATAAGTACCTGAAGGGCCATATGTCGAACATATCTATTTTTTCTTACCTAAACCCTCAAAGAAGCGAATCTCTCTCACCCCCAAACCCTAAACCCTAAACCCTAAACCCCTCACAGCCCAAAAACCCTAAACCCTAAACCCTAAACCCCTCACACTAAACGCTTAAGGCGAGCCATCTTCTTCGGGTGACGAGGCTCGCCGAGCTCGCCCGGCGACTCAGACAATGGGCTTACGCAGTAGTGAGAGATTTGGGAGTTTCCGAAAATCAGGGGTACCTTATTTTCGGGGGTCCTTATAATAAGGATCCTACTATTTAGGGTACTATATTAAGGTCCCCTATTTTCGGAAACCCCCATTTGGGGTTAAGGCTCTAGGGCTTAAGGTCTTCTACGGGTTTGACGGTCTAGGGTTTAGGGTTTAGGGATGTTTAAGGGTTTGGGTTTAGTATGGAAGAGGCAGGGATCTAGGAGATTTATGAGACTGTGGCTGCTACAAGATTTACTACAGGGTTACTCCTTAACCATGCTGCAGGGTCTTGTAAGGTTCTGGTGTTGGGATTTGCCGCGTTCTACGTCAGGGTTTTGATTTTGGGTCAGCCCTAAAGCCTAAAACCCCTAAACCAGTAAACCCTAAACCCCCAAAACCCTAAACCCAAAACCCCTTAACCCTAAACCCTATTCGGTTTGAGGATCTGGTCTTGGGTTCTGCAGGATTTCTTCAGCGTCCTATGAAGCTTACGGTGGCTTTAGGACCTGGGCCCTAAACCCTAAACCCCTAAACCCTTAAAGCCCTAAACCCTAAACCCTCTCCTTATTATAATTATAGAAAAATGTACCCAAACCCTATTCTAATTTTCAGGCCCCTATATTACACACTTCAAAGGGCCATATGGATAGTTGTCTATGTTAGGGTCTCCAAAATAATACGGCACTATACCCTAAACTGTTGCTGTTGGACCGGGGGGGTTCATGCAATGTTGGTTGCAGAGTTCTTCGTCTCAGGGATTAAAGGGGTTGTATCAGTTTAAGGTTTGGGGTTCAGAGTATCAAGAGTACTTCCTAGAAAGAAGATAATGAAGTCGTATAGTCCTAGATTCACAGAAATCGGTCGTGACGTAGGGACCTTTTGATGATTTTTTTACCCGGTTCTGGTGTAGCCTATACAAAAAGAATGAATAGGAACTCCAAGGTATAGTATTTGCAGATATTCAGGCTGTTAGATTACCCATCGCACAAAAGTTAGTTTGACAGATCGAGGGGCTGCCTGTCGGGCTTAGCTTTGCAGAATCGGTGCCTTCATCCAAGCCTTTCAGTGGTGCCATCGGCTTACGTCGGGGTTCTTCGATTCAAGAAGAGGACAGGGGAATTGTTCATAAGCCCTAAACCCTAAACCCTAAACCCTAAACCCTAAACCCTAAACCCTAAACCCTAAACCCTAAGGGAATTGTTCATAAAGGCGTTTCGAGGTGCCTTTGGGTATGGGGCTCCTGGTTTGAGAGCTCGGGATCCAGTTGCCCCGGGGGGTTTCTCGGATCTACGGAAGCCCGAAAGAAAGAAGGGGAGTCGTAAGCCACAGCTGCAAGACCCCACGTCCGATGCTCTGAATACTAAACTCACTCAAGTCCGGGATCCTTCAACACAACACCCGCCTCCATCACCCCGTTTGACGGCCGTACATGACACCGCAGGAATCGAACGAGGAAGATTGATCAGATCCAGAAACCAAACTTGCACGCAGAGACTGAGACAAAGACACACACACACACACTCACACATATGTTTGTCTTTTCTGTGTCTCAGACAGCTTCGTATCGACACTTACCGAAGCTCACCGAAGTTCACCCTAAATCCTAAACCTTAAACCCTAAACCCTAAACCCTAAACCCTAAACCCGAAGCCAGCAGCTTTCTTGGGCAGGCGAGCGGAAGGTCAAGCCTGCCGAGAAGGAGAAGGAGAAGGCACCCACCTGCCCAGGGGTTTCCACCCGACAATCAGTCAATGTCCCCAACTTTGCCAGAATGAAACCCCAGTCCCGAAACCCTAAACCCTAAACCCCAAATCCCCAAACCCCCAAACCCCTAAATGATTCCCAAGCTCCGAAACCCCTTAGTTGAAGGACTAGCACTCACCCAGCTTGACCCGGATTAGGGTTTATAAGGGTTTAGGATTTGTAAGGGGTTTAGGGTTTAGGGTTTAGGGTCGAAAAGCTGCCTAAACTATCTTCGTTAGCACTCCTGGAGCCCCACAACCCTAAGCTCGAAGCCTCTGATTCCGAAATTCTGAAGCCCAAGCACATAAAGACCCCCAAGACGGAAACTACTAAACCTAAACTCCTACAGTCGACCATGCGGCCTCAGTCATCTCTGAATCAGGTTCCGGAGGAGAAGCCGAAGAAATCGAAGGCTCCGGAGGCAGCTTTTAGGGCTAAGAGCTTGCTGAAGGGCGTAGGATTTTGCAGTTTAGGAATTCAGAGCCTTAGGATTTAAGCGTTTGGGGCTTAGCAGTAGAGAAGTTTGCGGCTTCAGGTAATGTTCAAAAGTTCAGGGCTTGTTTCGGCTTTGGGCGTAAGGGTTAGAGCACGAGCATGTCACGTGTCTTCTCTGTTGAGCTCAAGCTTAATCGCAAAACTTCGGTTCATCCTTTAGGCGTTTAGAAGGCGCGCCGTAGCACCCATGCCCTCCGAACACCTCGAGACCTGTGTTTGTATACATTGAAGCCCTGCAAACTCTCCAACCCCAAACTATCAAAACCCTGAAAAACGCTGACTTTAGCATCCTAAATCCCTAAAAACCCTTGAGATCATAGCCCTGGGAGGAAGAGCCACCAAAGAAGGTGGCGAAGGCACGTGGCTTGGGATGCTGGCGTCTGTCTTCTTGAAGCTTAGGGCTTTCATGCGAGTTCTATACCAGCTTGTGGACTTCTTTGATTCTGTGAATGTAGTTTTGGCGGGTTTGGGGAGTTTAAGGGCGAAGGCGCAAGGCTTGCGAGGGTTTGGGGTTTCAGGGCTGCTGGACCTTCTGGACTTTCGCGTTTCAGGGTTCAGGGTTTAGGGTTTAGGGTTTAGTTTGCTGTGTTGTTCTCATCGTCGTGCCAAGGTGACTCGACTAGGATGATGAGCTGAGGTGCAGCTGGGCGCGTGACTGACGCAGATTCATCTGCATGTCCTTCAGACCAGTTTGTTTCTGTGTTGAGTACTTGTAATTTCTGCTATTGATGATGACGACGGTGATGATGATGATGTTGGGAACGATTGTGGTGATGGTCGTCGTGATGACGAGTCCGCCGCGAGCTTGAAGCGTTCAGCTGTCGTTCCATGGACAGGTTTCCCACAGGGTTTGCCTCTGCCCTAAACCCTAAACCCTAAACCCTAAACCCTAAACCCTAAACCCTAAACCCCCAAAGCCCAAACCCGAATCCCCTAAAGCCCCAAACCAAAAACATGGAAACCCTAAAACCTTGCCCTCGACCCGCCCAAGAAAAACCTAGCCACCTGAACCCCCCCCCCCTCTCCCCAGCCTAAACCCTAAACCCTAAACCCTAAACCCAAGCCCCCCCCAAGCCGAAGAGGTAACGGAGGAAAAGCCGAAGAAGCCCAAGACCACCGAGGCGCTCGCAGCGACCTGGGCCGGGGGGAAGTAGTCCCTAAGTAAAATTACTAAGGCCCCTACGTTTCACTTTGATTTCGGGATACAGAGTGTTTATAAGGGTCATAGAGGGGTTGACAAGGGTTCAGTGGTCTGGGTTATACAAGGGTTTTCAAGAGTTTACAGGGGATTGGAGGGTTTTGCTGGGAGCTGCCCGGGTGTCATGAGTGGTTCTGAAAGGTGTTCATATTGGGTTCTGCACTGAATTGAAATGCTTGTGTATGTGGGTCTTTGAAACTTAAGATGAGAAGGATCCTGTCATTGAGGTTCTCGACTGCAGGGTCCCTTACCGTCGGAGCCTAGCACAGGAAAGTGTTTTTGACACCGGCACACCTGATAAGCTTTCGAAAGCTGTAAAGGGGTTAGGGTGCTTAGCCAGGAATGAAGACATCCATCAACATGTTCAGAACTGATAAAACTGTCTGCAAGCTCGAGGGACAACGAAACACAGCTTGCACAGACAATGCCATTTTGCTCTCCACCGGCCAGCATGCCAAAACTAATTAAGGGAAAAGGAGAGAGAGAAGGAATCTGATCAGCCATCGTGCAAAGTAACAACAACACCGACGGCAAAACACGACAACGGAAAAGCAACAACATCAACATCAATTTTCCGATACCCAGGTTGCAAGATGGAGTTCATGTAGTCCGGGGGTATTTCTTGCCCAATCCGTGTATGAGCAGCGTGGACAATCATGAACACACAGAATTTTGATTGATGACGCAATATAGGGACCCAAATAATTACGAACATTATATTGAGGGTTCCTTATTGTACATATAGTATAGTGGGCCTCAAAACCCTATTTAGGCCCCTATATTGGGCTCAACCCCGGGTCTGCCACAACCTCAAGGTGGTGCCTTCAGGAATTGGGGGTTCCCTCTGACATCTTGCAAGATATGGGTAGTTCTCTAAATTAGGGTCCCTTTTAGGGTCCTGTTTATAGGGGTGCCGTATCAAAATGGGGACTTATTTCGGGACCCTTACTTAGAGAACTACCCATATTCAGTATGGTAGATTCCGCCGCTTGCTAAGTGCAGTACAATTCAGCATACAGCACCCCAACTTACCCCTGCAACCACCCTTTCTACAAGAAAACCATCCTCAACCCCTAAACTCCTAAACTCCTTAGCCCTTCTTCGCGAAATCCCAAGCCGCTACCCCCGAAACACCTTCCCAGAGACTCCAATATCCCTTAATTAAGTAATATTCCTTGAATTATAGTAGGATCCTTAATATGATTTAAGGCATATTCCTTGATTAAGGGATATTGGAGTCTCTGGGTTCTGCCAGGCAGAGGAGAAGCCGAAGAAGTCGAAGGCACCCGAGGCACCGCGGTGTCAGTCGTTGGCAGGCTTTGAGGTGCTTAGGGTTCGGCTTTAGGGTTTAGGGTTCAGGGTTTAGGGTTTAGGGTTTAGGGTTTAAGGTTTAGGGTTTAGGGTTCAGGGTTTAGGGTTTAGGGAGATACTTTTTAGGTCGGAAGAACTCAATAATAGTAGCAGCATTTTGCTTGTTAAGGCCCCGAGACTAAACCCTAAACCCTAAACCCTAAACCCTAAACCCTAAACCCTAAACCCTAAACCCTACTTGCAAACTCCGAAGCACCTGGAATTGGAGAAGGCCGGAGTGTACTTGGAGGATCATGGGACTTAGTAAGTAAGGTTATAAGTCCCTCAGTTGGGTTATAAGTATAGTTACCGTAATTATAACCCTACTTGCTAAGTCCCATGATCCTTTAAGTAGAAGCAGCTAGGGAACCAGCGCTGGTATTCTCAGCGACTCCCGTTTCTAGGAACCAAAAGAAGTCGGCACCAACAGAGAAAAGAACCCAAAAGGAGAGAAGTATCATGAAGTCCATATACCCAAGTGTCTTTAAAATAGAGAGCTATCCATCTACCCAACTGGCCGGAAAGGAGAGAACTACCCATATATCTTATACCGCTACACCCTTGCCCTCCCTATGGAGTCCCCCTAAACCCTAAACACTAAACCCTAAACCCTAAACCCTAAACCCTAAACCCTAAACCCTAAACCCCAACCTTTTAAGTCCGGCCCCCAAAGGATCCTCCAAAGAAGGCGCCGAAGGCAGAAGTGTAGCTGACGCTTTGGGGTTTTTTCGGTTTTAGGGGGCTTCGCGGGTCTGGGGGAGAGGGTTAAACCCTAAACCCTAAACCCTAAACCCTAAACCCTAAACCGGTACATTAGGGCTGAGGCTTTAGGGTTTGGGTTTTCGGTTTCAGGGGCTTCGGGGGTCTGCAGTAGAGGGTTTAGGGTTTCGGCTCTAGGGCTTAGGGTTTGGGGTATAAGGTTTCGGGTTTTCGTGTTTAGGGCTGAGGCTTTAGGGTTTGGGTTTCCGTTTTGTGGGCGTCGGGGTTTGGAGTAGAGGGTTGAGGCTTTCGGTTTTTAGGTCTGTTGGGAGTAGAGGGTTTCGGGCTGTCGTGTTTAGGACTTTGGGGCTTCGGGTCTGGAGTAGAGGGTTTTCGGGTATCGCGGTTTAGGGCTTAGGGGTTTGGGGTATAGGGTTTAAGCTTTTGAGGTTGAGGGCTCAGGCTTTGGGCATTTAGCGTTTAAGGTTGTGAGGTCAGGGGTTAAGGTTTGGGGGGTCAGCGGTTAGCGTTTAAGGTTTAGGGTTCCCGGGCCTGAATAAGTAGTGGTTTAGGGGTTTAGGGTTTAAGGTTTAGGGTTTAGGGTTTAGGGTTTAGGGTTTAGGGGTTTAGGGGTGGTCGTATCCACTCCACTCGGTCTGATAAGGGTTCCCTGTAGCCCGTATTTGTATCTTCACAACAAGCACCCAAAAGCCCCTGTATACATCCGCACATCCAAACATGTATGACTTACGCGCACACACACACCAAAGAAGCAAGACACAAGCTTCCTTTTCACTCTGTTTGTCAAGGCCAGGCCGATCCTCCTAATGTAGGGGGCCTTAGTAATTAGAATAGGGGGTTTCCGAAAATACGGGACCCTGATATAGTACCCTAAATAATAGGATCCGTATTATAAGGACCCCAAAATAAGGTACCCTATTTTCGGAAACTCCCAATAGAGTCTTGGGGGTTCCTTTATGTATATATATATATAGTAGAATATACACCAAAACCTACATTAATTCCGGACACTGAAACCTCTCGCTCTAAACCCTGAACACTAAACCCTAGACCCTAAACCCTAAACCCTAAAACCCTAAAGCCCTAAACCCTCAACCCTGAAGCTCCTAAGCTTTAAGCCCCAAAAACCGCGCTGCAAGACTGCGTCTCAAATCTCCGCCCGTTCAGGGTTCAGAATTCAGGGTTTAGAACTCTAAACCCTAAACCCTAAACCCTAATGTTTAGGGTTTAGGGTTTTAGGGTTTTGACAGGTGGCCGAGGAGCCAAAGAAACCCGAGAAGGCCCGAGCTCGGATCCACCGGCGCCCGATTTAGGGTTTAGGGTTTCGGGGTTCCTTCAAAGGGTTCCTGTAAGGAATACTATAAGGGATCCGCTACACAAGGGGTTTAGGGTTTAGGGGCCTCAATAATTCTAGTGTTTTTTTTGGGGGTCCTTTGTAGTATGATTAAAGAACCCCCAAGATGATATAGGTGATTATATTGAGGCCCCTATTTTAGGATCTCAGACTTATGGCTCTGGGGTTTAGGGTTTGGGGGGTCTTCGGATCTCGTCTTCAGAGTGTTTGGGGTTAACCCTAAACCCTAAACCCTAAACCCTAAACCCTAAACCCTAAACCCTAAACCCTAAACCCTAAACCCTAAACCCTAAACCCTAAACCCTAAACCCCAAACTCCGCTTCCTCCACGAATTCTCTGAACACTGAGATGGGGTTTTCCGAAGATAGGAGACCCTAATATAGTACCCTACATAGTAGGATCCTTAATATAAGGACCCCAGTATAAGGTAGCCCTAATTTTCGGAAGCTCCCAGATCCCTATTACAAGCTTCGTTAAGGGCAGTCGTTTCTAATTCTACGCTGCACCTTTTCAGAGTGCCTTCTATAACCCTAAACCCTAAACC